GATGATGATGATGATGATGATGGTGATGATGGTGATGTTGATGATGACGATGGTGATGATGGTGATGATGATGATGGTGATGATGATGATGACGATGATGATGATGACGATGATGATAATGATGGTGAGGATGATGACGATGACGATGATGATGACGATTATGATGACGGTGATGATGATGATGATGATGACGAAGATGATGATGATGGTGTGGGCTCAAAAGGCACGACAATCTTCAAGTGTGACTCTCCACCGGAGACCGATGGTAACGTGATCTAACTGGGTCCACAATTGAGTTGCAGTTGGTGGCCTCCATGTTACGCGAGTAGAACGCTTATGCTGGCCAGAAACAGTTCGTGATCAGAACAAAACTGGAGGAGACGCTCTCCGTTGTCTGTATAACGATCATCGACTCCAAATTGGCCGACAAGATGTGATTCCAAGAGATTCAGACGACCGAGTATGGCATTTATATGACCTGTGAGGGTAACAGTCGTTCAGCTGTAGCGCCCTTTCGGTGCCTAGCTGCCATACCACCCGAAGGAAGCAAGAGGGCTGGGATACTGTCAAGTTGCCCAAGCCTAGACAGAGGAAGTCGAGAGGCAGAGGTCGGGTTCGAACCACGGACCTTGAGCCATCTCGCTCCCGGGCCAGGTGGCCCAAGTGGTTAAATCGCGAGGATAACAATATCAGTGACTCTTGCTTGACGAATGAGCCTGGATAAATTTCGACAGCATCCGTTGTGGTATAAACCAACACTACGAACAGGCACCGCTTCCTACGTCGAGAATTATTGAGCTTGAGTGGACTGGATAACCGCACGGCGCAAAGATGACTGCAAAGAGCGTTCAGCTCTGGGGTTGAGCGCAACTCCCACGCAATCGCACGAGTCATTGCCTCTACGTCACCGGAAACACTGAAATGTGAAAGAACTGAGTTCGCCCTTGGTATTTTAAGATGCACAACCCTGCTTGGGTCTTGTATGGGTGCTTCGAAGACACGGCACACATGAATTTCAAGGGGAAATAAGCTCTCAATTTGGCATAGAGTACAGACATCGTAAGCTCCTATGTAGTAAGGTGTTATTTTGTTCATTTTTAATGAGAAGCAGAGGACAAGAGGCTCATCGATCGGACAACTGACAGTCAAATGACTCAAAAATGTTTTTTGTGTGGTGGAAAACGGTGGAGAGCGATATCGGTGGACAAGAACTGTGCGGGCAAATGATTATTCCCTGTTGTCGTGGAGGGGGGTCGATCAGGTACCCCACCTTGAGCTTTTGAGTAAAAGTTCGAAGCAGGATGTAGAGTCTTGTTCGGAGACCCTATTTCTAGCTTCTGGCTCAAAAGTTTAACCCACGAGGAAGCGAACAGTGGAGTTTTCTTTGGGGACCCTGCCCAGGGCCGATGACTCAATGGCATGACCTGCTGGGCTGCAGGGGACTGGCCGAGGAGGCAAGGAGTAAGGCATCACTGTCTCACTCCTGATGCGGCCACGCACGGCAGGGGCCTTTTGAGCGGCACCAGACTCTTTGGTTTTGGAAGTATTTCAACTGTATTGAATAAGGCGCCGGTGTTCACGGTTAGTCATTATGCGATCGGTGTGTGGTTTTCAGGGTCGATCTTTTCTAAGCCGTCCTTGCTCGAGGCAGCATCGCTGTTTCACTGAATATGGACACGCTGGTCGCTCGGGGAAACGCCTTACCGACTTCACGCTCCTGTCGCAGAGGACAGTACGACTTTACCTCCAGGCCGCCTCGTAGCACAATTAATCTTAGTGCGAGGTCTCGCCGCTATTGGTCTGACAGCTCCGCTTTGGCCTTCATGGCATGTTTGTGTCTTGTTGAACGAAGTTCCAGCCAGTGTAGTCTGCGAGATAATTTCAGGACTCAACCCAGACCACCACGTCAAGGTGGCAGCTTTAGGTCTATCCATACAAACCTCATTTAAGATGTTTAGCACACCGTCAACCGGTTTAGGTTGTGGTCCCGAAGGCATACAAATCTCTTATCAAGAATTGACAGCGATCCAGTGCTATGTGCTCACACGCAAACACCACACACCAGGTCTCCAGTGCCACGTATGGCAGTTGTTATCTGCTCCCGATTGCGAATAATCTCTCCTCAAGTGTCCACTTTTGGTTACTACGAGGCTCAGAAAGCCCGCCGGCCCCTAAACGAGGGGTATCCTCCTTGGGCTCATCCGTGAAATTAAGTGAAAGTCTACAACGGATGAGAGCACGGTTCGAAAAGCACACTAAAACTGGAATGACCGCAACGAAGAGACTGGACCGTGGCGCGATGTGACACTTTATATGCCTGAAATGACCAGAGTCCTTTGACATGCGCTTTGCACACACTAAGTGAAAGGCGACGTACAGCGACTGAGCACACCACTTATGACTCATGAAGAGGCACTCGCGGTTGTGGAGTGTTTTACGTACCATCGAAGTTGCATTAGTTTCGATTGCATTGAGACAGACAGGGCCAATGGACAGATTTCCAATGTTCGCGTAGCATTCGCTCGTTTAAGACAACTATAGAGGCACGGCGTACATCCGAATCTCAAGGGACGTGTGCACCACTGTTTTGATGGATGGCTGAGACGTAGCTTTTGATGAACAGCCGAACTGAGGCGAAAGTTTGGACACGGAGATTGTGTCCAACATACGGTAACGAATCATCAGTGTTGACCACTGACGTCACGTTGTCAATGATGATGTGTTAAGTACCTAATCGCCATTCACAGGGACTTCTGCTCCTCGCACCCATTTCCGCGGCGCAAGTAAATGTAGTCAACTGTTGACCACACAGAGGGATGTAAAAAAAAACGATTGTTCGCACTGCGGGAATTTTCTGGTCGTCCTCCGACAGCTGCTCGTTGGCCTTGCGGGGTTTAGTTCAAGATAGTGCAGCCCACGAAACCAATACAACCCCAAGCCCAGCCATTAAGTCGGAGCCGCAATTTTTGGTCGGGATCTCTTAGAACACTAAACTGTATCAAAACTATTGCGAAATCGAAAACTGAAGGACTCTACGAGGACCATCCAAATATACCCTCCTATATCCGTTTCCTGTCAGCCGTTTATTAGTTGTCACCATCTCCATTTAGGACACGCGAATTTCTGACACGATACTGCCTCACAACACTTGTTCGGATATTTGGCAAGCAATCCTCGAGCGTCCATTCTCTCTGAACCTGGAATTACGACAGTGAAGCATCGGTGTTGAGCAATGATGATGATGATGATGATGATGATGATGAACTTGGAATCTACATTTGGCTCCTTCCCTGCCTTTTACGCGACAGGAATCACGTACCCGAGGCCGTATTCGCTTAAGCCAGAAGACTGGAGTTCAGAAGCAAATCAGCTAGGCCCGATGTTCGGGGAAAGACAAAAGGACAGCAGAGGGTTTAACCTCCATGCTGAAAAATTCAGAAAAAGCCCACCGTTTTTTCCACTTGGAAGGTCATTCTGTGGCCTTATGGTAGAGGTGATTCAGTGGTTAGTGCACTGGTTTATTGAACGCGTCTCACTCAAGTAGAAGCACAAGCAGAAGCACTTGTGTTCTTGGTTTTCCTTAACATTGTCCATCTCCGTCAGGGGAGGTTCACCTTTAGATGAGTACAGCATATCAACTTCCCCCATGGCCACCCAACGTTGCTCATGGGCCGCATAGCCCTCTAAACAAACTTCTAACGTCCGGAGTTTCCTACCGGAGATAATCCAGTCGGTCTGGTCACCGCTCAAACTACACAGCCCGAATGTATTGCATGCTAAGTTTCATCCAGTCAATTTATCTTCCTAATCGGGATATCAGCATCGCCGAATATCACTATTACCACAACTTTTCGATTTTTCATTTTTGCGACCTGTGGGGAGTTCATGAAAGGCTCCGTAGGATTTGAATAACAAATAGAACCTTAATTTGATTTATATGCACTGCGACAGCGTTTTTGAGTGTTTGTTCCAGTCCCACTCCGTCTTTGACTAAGGTGTAACGATTTTTAGGTACATTCCCCCGGCGACTTACACGGTCTCTACAAGCATGTGACGAGAGTGTTGTTGACACAAATCAGTGATATCTAAAGCGCCATTCAGCGACTGTGTATGACTATGCAGTCGAAAACGAGGTATTTATCGTGCAGGTTAGATTTGTATGGGACGAACTAACGATAAACTTTTTGGGAGTTTGTGGAAATAGCATCAGCCGCATCGCCTACCAGACGGCATAATTTAGGGAAAATGGGATTTCGAGATGATTCGTGAGATCGCCCACCATACACCGAGCCAGAGGGCCAGTACCTCAGGCTACCTCTTACAGCCCCGGCAGGGTCTGTCTGCACATTAGTCTGCTCAATCCAAAGACCGGTGCTCCCAGGAGTCTGCAGCAAATGGAAAATAGTAGTTTGCGTATGAACTTAAACAAACAGGACCAACCTTGGTGTCTGCCAGACATCGCGTCCGCACCTAATGGTATTTTTTGATACAGTAAAACAATCACAGTTCGTGGTCTAAAGAATTATTTTGGGCTCAGTAAAAATGCACCTTTCAAGCATATGGAAAGGGGTTCATCAAATAGTGTTCCTATTTGTGTCCTGGATGGGTGACGGCTAGCCGAGAATGGCCGCTAACCGGAAGCGATGGGTAAAGTACCGAATGAGGTGGCAAGAACCACAATTCATGTACTATCGCAACGGAGTTGTCCTCGAAGATGAATACAACATACGTGGCTGAGAAACGTGTTTCAAATACGAAATCCTAGAGAATAATGCCTACATGAGCAAAGAAGCTTGGAAGGAATTGCACAACACCAACACAAGCATATGTGCATATTTGATGAAAATTGTAAATTCATGCATTTGCAAAGCAAAAGTGGCAAGAATGTTGACTAAGCAAAAAGAGCTTGCAAAATGGGGATGTGATAAAAGACTATCTCTGTGAGTTCAGCTCGAACATTCACAGACAGACATAAGACTGGTTAGAGGAGCTCGCCCTAGCGTCGGGTCTACTAATCAGAGGCAACTTGGTGTGTTGCGGACTACTGACGCGAATGTGTATCCCCGTGATGTATCCCTACTATAGGCTATGCGTCACTAAACAGAAGAAAATTCTTCTTTTTCCACCGTGATATCCGTGCGGTTATCATTATTTCTGGGGTTTGTGATTCGAGGTCGATGTAGAGTTTGGCCAAAATGACACGTAATGCACATCTATGCGCTAATTCCGTATTGCACACTGAGGTTTTGCGGTGAATTGATTAAAAGAGCAGGTATTTTTGTTATTGATCAAGTAACCCTCAATCAGACAACTAAGCTTTGCAAGTCACCATACGGAGAGTCATTATTACCGCGCAGTTAGGTGGGTACCTGTTCATTTCTTGTGTGCGTTCACATAGCACTTGGAAGCCCTGTGTACGGTGATTGGCCAGTTGGTTGTCATTGTTCTGGATAAGTTTATCAGTCCGCCCGTGATCTTTGTTGCGCTGTGTTTTACGATTATTCGATTCGATTTCTTACCCAATTCCTTCCATTTTTAGTACCTTCGTCTTCAACGTTGATTAGCTTCCTTCTCGATCCGCTTTGCGTTGTGTTCTGATTGCCTCATGAGTGAATTGCTGGATAAGCAACCCTATTTCCTCCATTGTATTGGCTGAGGTCTTTGCGTCCACCGGTTATTTTCGTACTTCGTCTTATTGATTGGGCGGTCGCTTTAATCCAATTAATGTATCCCTGTTTGTTTTGCAAGGTCTTCTGGTTCCCCGTGCAGTTCAGATCCCCTTGGTTCTTGCGCTCGTTTGCCCCTAGTACGTGACGAATGGCGTCAAATTAAATCTGCTTTTTGATAGCTTTTCCGGTGGGGGACCACAATTCAAAAAATTTTCTCTATTTCCTCCCTTCTCACTTGAGCGAACATGCGGAAGCTGATCCAGTCGAAAACGTGTCCTTCCTCATCCGTTCGCACGGATGTGAAAGAAAATTGACCGTGTCTTTTATAGCAAGCATTTGTTCTCGTATTCCTATGGAGAGCGTCCTTGCTGTTACTTGTCACAGTGTGATCCTGTATATAACACTGTTGATCATCAGCTATATTTTCCCTTTGGTTCCGATAGTGGCCTACGAAATGTGTTCTCAGGTTTGCAAGCCGCCGTATTTTGTGCTAACAGCCTTGTAGTTACTTCATCGGTGTTCTGCGGGCCTATGCTGCAGCTTGTGGGTATTCCTGAACCAGACGAACAAGTGTACTAGGTCGGATTAATTGAGGCGAATCGGAGCGGAAATGTGAGAAGGCTAGTTGCGTGCGTCTATTCTAATTTTACGAAGCTTTGGGCGTAATGACGCGACAGAGCGTAGCCCATATAATATGAAATGCACATTTATGCGGAACAGAACCGATGCTGACTAAGTATTGCACCCTGAGACTTTGCAGTGGACTGATTAAACGAGCGGACTTATGTTGCAATCGTGGGAAGACGAATTCGCCCAGCCACAATTGTGACCATGCCTGCTAATCTACCAGCATCCCGGAAAATACATCATTATTGAGATGAGCTTCAACAAACATATAGGCTGAGTTTATCCACGAGATTTTGTACTTCCCAGTCGGGCAGAAGATAAAATCTACCCTCACTCGAGGTTCCCTGCCAACATGTCCGTCTGCATCGGGAGACTTTTCTTTTAGAACGCAGCTTTCTGGGACTACCAACAAATACATTTTTAGAGAAACGGTTAAACCTTTTCGCCATACAAAATACCAAAATGCAGTCACTCAAAACTTGTATAATACCTAACTACGTACTGAAGGTGATGATCATGCCCACAACACATGCAGCACAACTTTTCTGTGATAATCGTCTTTTACTTCCAAAATATCGACACCAACTTCTCTTAGGAAGCCCTAATCCCGAATTAAATGTTGGAATTTCACCAAAACACTTGTTCCATGTGCAGATGTGTGGAGGACCCCGCAGGTTTTGTCGCCCGCTAACCTTCCCTACGGTGGCGAGAGCATACATGTATATATATTTGCTTAACAGGCTTCGAGCCGTTCTGAGCCTATGGGGTCATAATAAATGCTCGGCATGTAACCATATTTGTATGCAAGTCTTGGTGTTCCGGAGAAATATTGAAGTTCGCGGGCGTTATACCACGTTTCAGAGCCTAAAGACAAGGTTGAGAAATTCTCCACTCTCGTAGGAAGCTATTTACAGAAGAAACCAACCTTTATGTATTTCTCCGATTGTCCTGTACGGTGAATTTAACTGGTAAACCATACCACACGTACAATGTGCTCTTCTGGTCGATCCTTTGATATAACCACCTTGTGTGAGAGATTTACGTCAATGTAGTCAGGCTGTCTCAAATATTCAAACAAATGAGACCCTCCAGAGTTTACATTTTTAGGTACTTGATCCCTTCTAAGACTTATCTACCCCCTCGAAGAACTCACAAGCCGCTATGTTTCATGCAGGCGAAGGTGCCCCCAATTCACTGAGGAGCTCATTTCTTTTTTCTCGCAAAGCGTAAATCCAATTGGTGTAAAAATGTAGAAGCAGTGTGGGTTATTTTCGCCCGCGTTCTAAAAAACCGGATAATCTGGACCTGTCTATTGCCATCGGAAATAAACTAATATCGCGAAAACCCATCCGGTGAAAATCGTCCGAGATTACATAAGCATACGCGTCCTGGCTGCCTTGGGTGTATCACCCATGGTGAGCCTCCACAATGGACATTGATTACATGGTTTTACATTGTGAAAACTGGTCAAAAGTAACTCACCTGCTTACCAGGTTAACAATAGAGGTTTGTGCGACCATTATACTTCGATTAAGCTAGGGTATTCCGCGGTCGTTTTACAGTTCTTTGCATCAAACCATAGTAGACTTATGTTGGTGCATGTGAACGCATTACTTTTCTTTAGAACATTAGGTCTTAGCGTATAATATAAGCATATTTCTGATTAATTTGGGAAAACCTGAGCTGAAAGTTTTTGTTCAGCTGCATCAGTCACTCAGCGAATGGCATTGGGGCCAGGTCGATTTCGATTATAGTCCAAGCCACCGGTGTCTCCTCTCCTTATGCTTCCACAAGGGTAGGTCAATTTGCTACTAGGAACTAGTCGCGACTAACGACAAGCGTTGCATCATTCATCCCTAAAAACGTGGTTTGTCCTGTTCTAGCTTATCATCCAACCGAAAGCCTAAACGTGCAGGGCGGTCAACTTTTATAAAAAACATCAAATTCAGCGTGCGCAAGTTTTTTTATCTTGCGACATATGTGGTGGATTCGTAAATAAGTACGTTTGAGATAGTAGTGCCATTGGTACATAAGCAACAAACGGAGGCCAAAAATGAACCGGAAAATCTCTCTTCAGTCTAGTTCACGGGATGGGCGGCTCCATATTTCGTGCTTCCTAGAACATTCAAACCAATTTTCCGGAAATCCCTCCGAATTGATATTGGCGTCGGTCGTAAAACAAGTAAAACATTTACTCGTTTCTAAGGTGTTCTCGGTACTCTTGGTAGCGTAATCTAGCGGCAGATGATGGTACTTCATCATCGTGTCCCAGCCTTAGTGACCCTTGCACATCAGGATAGAAAACTGTCATTATTAATGCAATGTGCCTTGTCGCTCCACAGTGAATGAGCTTGAAAATCATTAAGCAACCATCTGATTGCTACATGAACATGTATCTCATAACCAGCACCCAAGAACCATATACCAGTAGAGTTCCGTCTGTGTCCTCCAAGTAGCCAATAGGCCATGGCATCAATTATTCATCCTTGGAGTGAACCTCACTTGCCCATACATACCTTGTCTTTGCAGGTAAGTTTTTCCGGTCGCCGTCAAGCCAAATAGGTCTTTCAACTCTCAACCTGGAGTGCCACCCAATTTCACACCTTGTCTCCCCAACGACACAAAAGACTGCGCGGTTAACAACTCTTCCCCCAACTTCACGCCCCTTCCCCAAATATCCATTTTGAACTGTGCTGTGCCTCATGCCCCACATTCTGCAGTAGGGGGAACAGAAAACTAAAAGCAAATCGGCTTTTGCCAAGCGCCATCCACGCTGGATTGCGCTTGCCCCTGTTGTAGCACACAACACGGGAACCAAAAACATTAGTTGTAGCAGAGAAAATGTTCGGTCTCGGGAGTAATGTAACGGAGGCTCACCGGATGCACGCAGTGTGCTGCCTCTGATTTAATTAGTCTTTCAAAGCCTCTACACTTTTCCTTTCCTCCGGCTCTGTTATGCTGTTACATCATTGAAGAAAAACGCAAAAAGTCCAAACACTTCATTTTCCAAAAGACGCAAAGCGAATCTACAGGAGAAAATTTTATTCTCATGCCTCGCCAGTAGTATACACCGTTACACACATTCCTCCTTTGAAGGTCGCTCGCATGCCACCGATTTTCAGCTACTTCCGTCCGTTCAGCTCCATCGGCTGGTCTATTTAGCGGCCC